CCCGCCACAATGCCCAGCTTTTTTTTTGGTAGAGACGGGGTCTCACTCTGGCTCATTCGGGCTCATGCTGGTCTTATGCTGGTCTTGAACTCAGCTGAGCTCAGGCGATCCACCCGCCTCAGCGTTCCACAGTGCTGGGATAACAGGCGTGAGCCACCACACCCGGCCGATTATTTAGATTTTTAAACTGAAAAAGCAATTTGTCTTTCTCCATGAGAAAAAATGAGACATATTTCAGATCTCTCCATAGCAGCATTCAGTGTAGTTGGATGGTGTCTGTGAGTCTACACAGTTCTCCAGGAAAGAAGATGTGACCTAAGACATCTAGCCAAGTTGTTTGTAATTATAGAGGTGACAGACATTTACAAACGGGACTCCAGCTCCTCCAGCTCCACCAGCTCCCACGAACACATCTTCACTACTCTTGTGGAGACAGAAGTCAGTAACCCAGAGTGAGTCAGAGTGGAAGTCATGGGCAAGGATTTGTGATGAGCACTGAATCCGTGTAAGATGGGAATTGAGAGAAAGCATCTAGTCTAGTATGGTTGCAGAGAACACTGGAAAGGTTATAAACCTTGAATTTCTACAACTAATACAATATATGCAATAAAATTGAGAGGTAGGGAGAAAGGAGGATGTGTAATAGACTAATTGCTGATCTTTTATATAGAGAGTCATTTGATTCCCTTGAAAATGGAAACTAAAAGACCGATAAAAACTGGAAAGTCTTTAATTCTTAGTAATTTTCTGGCCTTTTTTTTTTTTTTTAAGTGTTTATCATACTTTTTGACAGTAAAAAGTACAGAATAAATTTCATTAAAGAAACTTATTTCTGGCTCAGTGCCCATAGCACAGTGGTTATGGCGCCAAGCCATGTACACTAAGGATGACAGGTTTGAACCTGGCCCCAGCCAGCTAAACAACAATGACAACTGCAACAAAAAATAGCCGGGAGTTGTGGCAGGTGCCTGTAGTCCCAGCTACTTGGAAGGTAGAGGCAGGAGAATTACTTGAGCCCAGAACTTGGAGGTTGCTGTGAGCTATGATGACATGGTACTCTATCCAGGGTGACAGCTTGAGGCTCTGTCTTGAAAAAAAAGAAAGAGAAAGAAACTTATTTCTGCTGGGTGTGATGCCTTCTAGTATGTTCATTCTGATACATTCTGGCCCTGATCCACAGATGCTTGTTACAAGGTATTAATGGGAATGGCCGGAGATTAAAAAATACCAAGGGATCTTTAAGGAACTAATAATCTAGTGGTAAACAAATTCAACTAAAATTCAGTAGTTCGTTTTTCTTCTGTTTTACATTTTCTACTGTAATATTCAGGTAGACCTAAACATAAGAATTTTTAAGTTAAGAAATGGTACGTGTAGTTTGGGTTCCATTGATATAAATTATTTTTTTCTCCCTTTCAAAATGCCCCATACATGCACAGAGGATGCTTCTAGTGATGTCCACCAGAAGTCAGCATTGGTTCCCTGGGACTGGTATTTTGGTGGATGAAGTGTTCCTTCTTTGTTTCCCTGTATGGTTTGGATTTTTTTTTTTTTTTTTTTTGAGACAGAGTCTTGCTAATGTCACCCTTGGTAGAGTACTGTGGCATCACAGCTCATAGCAACCTCAAACTCCTGGGCTTAAGCGTTTCTCTTGCCTCAGCCTCCAAAGTAGCTGGAACTACAGGCTCCCGCCACAACGCCTGGCTATTTTTTTGTTGCAGTTGTCACTGTTGTTTAGCAGGCCCAGGCCAGGTTTGAACCCACCAGCCTCGGTGTATGTGGCCAGCGCCCCAACCACTGTGCTACGGGTTCTGAGCCAAGGTTTGGATTGTTTGTGATAAGCATGTATTACTTCAGCAAAGCAAATCGAGTCAGTACTCTTTTAAAAAGACAAGAAAAGGATGAAAAATCTGTGGACACCTTGATAAAGCCAAAAAAGCCTCAAAAGGAGACAGGCTGGGCATGGTGGCTCAGACCTATAATTCTTGCACTTTAGGAGGCTAAGATGGGGGGATTGCTTCAGGCCAGGAGTTCAAAACGAGACTGAGCAATATAGTGAGACTCCATCTCAACCAAAAAAAAAAAAAAAAACCCTGAGAGTGGTGGCATACTCCTGTAGTCCTAGTCCCTGGGGAGGCTGAGCACAAGAGCGTGAGGTTGCAGTGAGCTGTGATTGCTCTGCTGCCCTCTAGCTTAGGCAACAGAGTAAGATTCTGTCTCCAAAAAAACCCCAACAAAAACAAACAAATCCCCACACACAAACACTGGAAAGAAGAGAATAGACCCCACAGCCCACCTGCAGGTGCATGTTCCCACACTAACTCTGGGTCTGGGTTTTCCCTAGGAATGTCAGAGTCGCCCATGCTCCCATCGTCCCTCATGCTGCTCAACACAGCCCATGAGTATTTGGGCAGGAGGTCCTGGTGCTGCAATTCAGACGGGGCTCTGCTGCGGTTCTACGTGAGTGCTTCCCACTGAGCCATGGGTGGCTGTCACGGGGCTGGGTGGGAGGTGGGGTGTGAAGAGGAACAGAGCTGTGCTAGCCCTCCCCTAAAGTGGGGGCCTGCTGTGCTGCTTTACTGATGTACATGACTACTAAAATTTGCCAGAAAGTCTGAATTTAGATGCAGCTGAGACTCAGGGCCTGGGCCTTGAATAGCAGGTAGTTTTAGATCCACTGGTCATTACTGAGTCTGTTACTAGTCAGGTGTGGGGTTGGGCCCTGTACTAGTAATTTTAGAAATAATAACCACATTTACCACTACGACTTACTGATCCCTGTTTGCCAAGCACCACTCACTGTGCCTGATACATACCTATTCCATTCAGGCAGTAAATGATTAGTGAGCATAGATAGGCTTCTCTACAATTGCCAGCTGGGATTGGTGGTAGCTTCTTGAGCTACCAACTCTTTTCCAGACTCACTGTTGAGTGGGAGGCAGAGCAGCACACAGACAGATCACAGAGCTCCAGGTGTTCTGGGTGTACCAAAACTTCCTAAAGTTTTGTTGGAATATAGCCACACCCATTCATTTACATATTACTTGTGGCTGCTTTTCAATACAGTGACAGAATCAATTGTGATAGTCTATGTGGCCTGCAAAGCCTGCAACATTTACTACCTGGACCTTTCAGAGAACGTTTGCTGTCCCTGCTCTGCACCTCCTGGCTGTCTACGCAGGGCTTACACAGGACCCCTGACCCTCCTCCTGCTCTGGGCTTCCTACCTTTTAGCATGCCATATAATTTTCTCCTTTATTGTGCATCTCTTCTCCACCGAAATGTGCCTTTAAAAGAGTAGAAGTTTTTGTTAGTTTTGTTCACTGCTGGACCCAGCCCAGTGTCTGGCACACAGTATTATAGGTGCTTAATAGATGTGGGTTAAGGGAGACTATGCACAGAGTACACATATGTGTTGAGCTTGGCCGTCTACGCAGCACTTACACTGGGGAGGTGGGGATTTGGCCCGGAGACCCATCTGGCCTCTGGCCCCAGAGCTGGTTAGTGTCTGAGGCAAGTTCCTGCCCTAGCTCCAGCTGCATGCCTGTCTCCCTGACCCTGTGAGCTCCAGGGGCCACTGGGGTGTTCACCCTGGGTCAGCTCTACCCTCCAGGACCATTTTTTGGAAGAGTTGTGCCTAGGAATTGGCCACTCCATTCTTCTGCCTCTCTGTGCCAGTCAGAGTGCAGGGACACCGTCTGTGTCCACCAGGCATCTTTGTAGGTGGGTTTGGGTGAGAATGTTACTAAGAGGGCAGGCAGGATGAAGGGGGAGGTGATAGGATGATACTATTCCTGATTTCTCTTAGTCTGTGCTTATTTTAGTAGAGCTTCACTCCTAGTTGCCAATATTTGCTAATTGAGTTTGAGGGAGAAATGATACGAGTACCATTGTATTTCATTTTATAGCTCCTAATTTCCTGCCCAAGACCCAGCCTTTACCCTGACTCCTGCAGCAACTCTCCTGGCCACCCCAGTGCTTTCTGCCTGCCACTCTCTCCTCAGGTGCTTCATGACTGGCTCATTCTTTCCCTGCTGCCTTTTCAAAGAGCCCTCCGTGCCTGCCACTCTGATTTGTCTACTGCCAGGGAGCTCTGCTGTTTATTTCTTTGTCCTGTGCCTCTCTTCTACCAGACAGAACTCCTGAGTCCAGGGACCTAGACCTTTTCTATCTTTTCTACCTAGATCCTTGAGCAGTGCCTCACATAGACTAAATACCTGAGTTGATATTTTTGAATGTATGAATGAATGAACATAAAGGCATTCATTCATTTATCCAGCAGTGTTTGCCGAGCTCATCATTCTCCGTGCTATAAGAGTTATGAAGGTGAATGCTTTTACCACTTCTTGTTACCTGAGGTCAGGAGTTTGAGACCAGCCTGAGGAAAGTGAGACCCTGTCTCTACTGAACACGGAAAAATCGTGCACATCACCTGGGCATGGTGATGTGCACCTGTAGGCCCAGCTGCTGGGGAGGCTGAGGGTCACTTGAGCCCAGGAGTTTGAGATTGCTGTGAGCTAGGCTGAGGCCATGGCACCCTAATCTAGGCAACAGAGCAAGACTCTGTCTGAAAAAAAAATAATAATAATAATATAAAATAAAATAAAAACTATAGTTTTCAAATTATTCTCCAAAATAAATTAACTGAGTTTACACTTTTGACAGCAATACGGAAATTCCTGCACATCTCTGGCAGCTATAAGTACTACAGATTTAAACATTGATACCCATCTGAGAGGCACGAATGGTATTTTGTTGTTGTTTAAATGTTCCTTTTAATAATTTATGATGATTAGTGATATTGAGCATCTTTTTGTACTTGTTGGCTCTCTGAGTTTCCTTTTCCATAAACTGCTTGTTCATGTACTTTGCTCATTTTCTAGTGGTTTGTTTCTCTTTTTCCTATTGATTTGTGAAGTGCTTTGTGTACCTTGAATTCCAGATTGTATCTATATACCTTCCCAGTTTCGCATGCATGTGTGTCCTGAGTTCTATTTCTATACAACTTTATGTGGAGTGTCTTTTAACTTTGCGGAGAATGCTTTACAGAATTTAAGTATTTTATTAGTTGTCTCTATGGTTTGTGATTTTGGGGGGTAGTTTGTTTATGAAGTCCTTCCCTCCCACAAAATTATAAGAATATTCTCTAATCTAAAAGTTTGCTCTTGTTTTTCACTTGTGATCTTTATTTCATCTTTATTTTATTTTGTTTTATTTTATTTGAGACAGAGCCTGAAGCTGTTGCCCTGGGTAGAGTGCTGTGGCATCACAGCTCACAGCAACCTCCAACTCCTGGGCTCAAGTGATTCTCCTGCCTCTGCCTCTCAAGTAGCTGGGACTACAGGCACTTACCACAATGCCTGGCTTTTTTTTTTTTTTTTTTTTTTGGTTGCAGCTGTCACTGTTGTTTGGTGGGCTTAGGCTGGATTCGAACCCGCCAGCTCAGGTGTATGGGGCTGGCGCCTTAACCACTTGAGCCACAGGTGCCTAGCCTTGATTTTATTTTTTTAATGAGATAAAGTAGGGATCCAGTTTTACATTCTGTACGGATGGCCGGTTGGTTCCTATTAGTAGTAACTGGTGTTTGTGTGAGTAAATGGGTCTGTTCTCTCTGCACACTGATTTGTAAGTTGCCTTTGTCTTCTGTCCACCTTCTATCTGTTCTTGGCTCTTTCTTCTTCTATAACATTGTAAGATTAGTCTGTAAAGTTGCATGAAACTGCGTCTCCCTATTGGAATTTGATTGGAAGGGCATTAACCCCACAGATTAATTTGGGAGAGAATTGCCACTTTTATAGGATTGGGTCTTTCTATTCCTGAACATTGCTTATCTCTCCATTTACTGAGGTCTTACACTTTCATGTCCCCTAATTCAGTTATATAATTTTCTCCCTAAAACTCATATATATTTAGTTAGATGGATGCCTAAGTATCATTTTTTATTACTATAGTAAATAGGGACTCAAAAAATAATTTTTAATTTTGTTATTGCCAGCATATGAGTATTGTTTTTTTGGAAACAGATGGCTAGGGCACACAGTGATGTCTTCATAGCTCACTGGAGCCTTGAACTCCCGAGCTCAGGCAATCTTCTCACCTTAGCCTCCTGAGGAGCTGGGACGACTGGTAGCCACCACTGTGCTCTGCTGGTTTTTCTGTTTTTAGTAGAGACAGGATCTCTTGCTCAGGCTAGTCTCGAACTCCTGAGCTCATACAGTCCTTCTGCCTCAGCTTCCCAGAGTGCTGGGCTTACAGTAATCAGCTACTGTGTCCAGCTATTTTTAAAAAGTAAATTTTTCTTATGTATGGCCTGTGCATGTTATTTTTATTAATTCTGTTGGGTTGTAGACTTGAATTTTCTGAGTAGGTGTTCATATCATCCATGAATAGCATCTTTTTCCTTGCTTTTCAATCCTTATACTATAGTTCTTTCTTTTCTTTTTTCCACTCTTTTTCTTATGTTCTTGGCCCAGAGGTCAGCAACACTTTTTGTTTATGTTAAGTGACAGATAGTAAATCTTTTAGGCTTTGTAGGTCCAAGGGTCTTTGTTGCAACTACTCAGGACTCTCATTGTTGTACAAAAGCAGCCTTAGATAATATTGTATAGAAATTGGTAGCACGCAATAGGTAATTATAAATAGAAAATACGATAATATGGGCTGTGTTCCAACAAAACTTGTGGACATAAAATTGAATTTCACATGGTCTTTGGTAAAAAAAATAGTTTTTTATTTTTATTTTGTTTCAATCATTTAAAAGTGCAAACACCATTCTTACCTCTCAGGCCTCTGACACAGACAGTGGCAGGATTTGGCCCATGATTATTACTCATCCGTTCTAGAGTCTCCCCTTAAACTATTGACTCAGTTTCTTTAGTAATCATAGGTCAGTTTAGATTTTCATAGCAATGTCTACTTATTAGCATAAAGCTGTTCATGGTGTTTGCTAATGATTTTTTAAAAAGTCTGTGTACCTCGAGTCATGTCTTTCCTGGGGTTTGTTTGGTCTTTTCAAACTACCAGCTGTTGGTTTGGTCTCTTTTTTTCTTTGCTTTCTAATTTAGTCACTATGACTTTAGTGTCTTTTGCTTTCTTTAAATTTACTGTGTGTTGTTTCTGACTTACTGAATTGAATGCTTATTTCAGCATTCACTCCTCTGATGCTTACATTGAAGACTATAAGTTTTCCCAAATACATTTTTAGCTGTATCCCATAAGTTTTGATATTTGGTGTTTGCTCTTTTTATGTAATTAATTTCTAATTTCATTGAATTATGTTCAGATGATGTGGTATGTCGTATATCTGGTCTTTAGTCTTTGTTGAGACTTACTTTTCATCCAGCTTTGGTAATAATTCCATAGACGCTTGAAAGGAATGTTGATTTGCTAATAATTGAGTGTAGCAATAGTCTCTGGATCTCATATCTGTAGACACGACTTGTTTACAGTGTTGTTCACATCCTCTCTGACACTCAGGTTTTGTCTGAGAGTGACTTCCTTAGCCTTAATGGGATTATTTGTTTATAAATATTCATTCGACCCCAGTTTCTCCTTCCGAATCTGAGTTTCTTAAAAGCAAGGACTATGTCACACTGTGCCCAAGTAAGAAGGTAAATATTCATTGAGCAAATGAATAGCTAAAGCAATGCGTGAAGTTGTGAAGAGGCATATAGTGTCTTCCAGTGGCTGGTCGGAAACTAGCCAGGTGTGCTGGAAGGAAGGCAGCTTGGCGAATGTCTGCCAGAGCTGGGCCCACATTAACTCCCATTTGGATAAGTCTTTTCCAGGAAACAGGTATTTTTGGAATCAAGTAATGTAAGGGCCAATTATACATAGCTTCCTCAGAGTTGATAGGTAACAGTCTTGGGGCCCTGCTGTGACAGGGCGGCTGTGACTGCAAGTCCTATTCACCACAGGTGCGTGTTCTCCAAAAGGAGCTTGCTGCATCTACCTCTGAAGACACACACCCCTACAAGGAGGAGCTGGAGACAGCCTTGGAGCAGTGCTTCTACTGCCTGTACAGCTTCCCCAGCAAGAAGAGCAAGGCCAGGTACCTGGAGGAGCACTCAGTCCAGCAGGTGAGCGTGCATGAGCAGCAGGAGCACAGAACCTCCTTGAGGATGTCAGATTCATCAGCACTCCTCTCAGAATCCAGTTAGCATTGTATCAGGAGGAGAGAAGGGGTCTGGTACAGTTCAAAGCACAAGGGTTTTCTTTGCAAAAGCTTAGCTTCATAAATTTAAAAATGTATCCTGGCAATTGTCAATAGATTTATTTCCAATTTGGATAATATGTTTAATTCCTTAAAGCTTTTCCATTTTGTTGTTTCAGTTTTGGTTTGGTTTTTTTTTGTTGTTTTTTTTTTTTTTTTTTTTGAGATAGAGTCTTACTCTGTTGCCCTGGGCAGAGTTCTGTGGCATCACAGCTCACAGCAACCTCCAACTCCTGGGCTGAAGTGATCCTTTTGCTTCAGTTTTTCTATTTTCAATAGAGACAGGGTCTTGCTTTTCCTCAGGCTGTTTACAAACTAGTGAGCTCCAGCCAGCGGTTCTCAACCTGTGGGTCGTGACCCCTTTTTTCCATTTGTAACAGCACAGCAATTAGGAAGGTTGAGAACCACTGGCTCAAGCAATCTACCCGTCTTGGCCTCCCAGAGTATTATTTCAGTTTTTAGAGCAAGGTGGGTGTATTATCTAGGGCTCTTCAATGTTACCAGTTATTCTCTGATCACAGTGATTCCATCCCCTAAAATATGAGATACTTAAGGACAGGACCTCAAGTGAGGCCTATGGCTGAGTGTGCACTGGAGTCAGCGTTCAATTCAGTATTTGTCAACCAAGTGACAAAGGGGGCAGCTGAGGCATAGAGAGGGTCAGTGGCTGGTCCAAGACCCCCACCCAGGGTTGAGCCCACCCTCTGGCTTAGCTACATGTGCTCACAGAGCCCTTGGTTCCTCCAATTTTTGTCTTTGTATAGACCGGGCTTATGGTCTTCAGGTACTTGGATCTGGGGATTAGAATGGGCATGCAGATTTTAAAAAGTGTAATAAAGATGTGTTTTAGGTTCTCCAATATACACATCATAACCTAATTTACATTGCGTAGTGTTCATTTCTGTAGAACTTTTCATTACCCTGAATATGCTACAAGTCTGCCTTCTGTCTTTTTCAAGGTGGATCTTATATGGGAGGATGCCCTGTTTATGTTTGAGTATTTTAAGCCCAAGACTCTTCCTGAATTTGATAGCTACAAGACCAGCACAGTGTCTGCTGACTTGGCCAACCTCTTGAAGAGAATTGCAACCATTGTGCCCCGCACAGAGCGTCCAGCTCTGAGTTTGGACAAAGTCTCTGCCTACATAGAAGGGACCTCAGCTGAGGTGGGCCCGCTTGCCATGAGGAGGTGGGTGGTGGGTGGGGCTGGGTCATATTGTTCACCTTCAGCACTGCCACACATGCCATTTTGCTCCTTTCCGTGTTCTGGATCAGACCTCAGACCAGGAGAAGCTGAAGAATATGTCCTGTGTTGATGTGACCCAGCAGTCCTGGGTTAACTGCTTGTGTCCAAGGCCTTGGCCCTCATAACTGCATTTTGACCTGCCAGGTACCCTGCCTCCCAGAAGGGGCTGACCCTTCTCCTCCAGTGGTGAATGAGCTCTACTACCTCTTAGCTGATTATCATTTCAAAAACAAGGAGCAGTCCAAGGCCATCAAGTTCTACATGCATGACATCTGCATCTGCCCCAACAGGTCAGCAACTGGGCTGGGTCTAGGCTGACTGCAATGGGTGCAGAGGGGAGGGTTGGGGGCTGGGTCTAGACTGACTTCAGGTGGAGATAATGGTGGGCTGGGTGTAAACTGCGCTGGTGGAGGCTGGGGACTGGGTCTAGACTCCTGCAGGAGGGCTGGGGGGCTGGGTCTAGGCTGACTTCAGGTGGGGCTAATGGTGGGCTGGGTCTAAGCTGCTGGTGAGGGCTGGGGGCTGGGTCTAGAGTGCTGCAGGGGGGCTGGGGGGCTTGGTCTAGGCTGACTTCAGGTGGGGCTAATGGTGGGCTGGCTTTAAGCTGCCTGGGGAGGGCGCTGGGGGCTGGGTCTAGACTGTTGCAGGGAGGCTGGGGGGCTGAGTCTAGGCTGACTTTGGGTGGGGGTACTGGGAGGCTGGGTCTAGGCTGACTATGGAGGGGTGGTTTGGAGGGGCTGGGTCTAGGCTGCTGCAGGGGGATAGTGTGTTCTCAACTCAGCAAGCTCTTCAGTGGCCGAGTTTGAGTTTTTCCCTGCCTGTAGCAAAGACACCAGGGAAAAAGGAAGGAGAAAGTTTTTGAGAGCTCTGCAGTTATTAGGAAAGGTAGGTTCTTCATAAAAGAAGAATGTGGGAGAAGACTTCTTTCCCAAAGCCCCCTGAGAGAACTGGGGTCAGAAGAGGTATGAGGTGTCCATTTGGCCCCTAGTGTGCTGGGCAGGCAGGCCTGGCCTGACCTGGCTTCATCTGGTGAACTTTGTTCTGCTTCCACTGTAGACTCCCTGACTGTGGTTGCTCTCCTATGGGGGCGAAGTAGCAAGTAATAAAAGGCATGAGCCGCAGTTCTTCCTTGCTCTGGTCACTGTACCCTTGGCAGGCGCAGTTGTCCCTACAGCCCGTAGAGGACAGCCTGCTGTACCCAAGGCTCATGCTTCCTTCTCAGCTCGACTTTCTCTTAGGGTGTAGTGATCAGAGACTGAGCATGACTCACACTTGTAATCCCAGCACTCTGGAAAGCTGAGGTGTAAGGATCCCTCAAGCCCATGAGTTTGAAGTTACAGTGAGCTGTGATTGAGTCACTGCACTCCAGCCTGGGCAACAGCATGAGACCCTTTCGTTCTCTGAAAGAAAAGCAGTAATTGGCCTCAGTCTCCCAAAGGGCTACACTCCAGTCTGATGCAGTTGGTTAAGAAGGAATATTTTGTCATGGCTGCCATACCTAAGAGGTCAGCTGTGGGTCCGGGTCAGAATGAAGCCTTTTTCGGTAGCTGGCCTGTGTCTGAAGGGTCCAGAGTCCATCTGCAGCCAGACCTCCTGGAAGTACTCAGGGGCCAGCCTTCTCTCAGAGGAAAGCAGAGAATTCCACCTGTCAAGATTTGTCTGTATAAGGGGAGAAGCCAGTTCGTGAGGCTTGTATAGCTTGTGGGAACAGTTCTTACAGGCCCTCTTTTGCTTAGCTAGTGGTTTGCTCTGGATGGCTAGCACGTGGCAGAGCCCTGGAGGCCTGGCCCATGTGATGGAGCAGACCTGTGCCCAGGCTGTCCAAGTGCTCGCTGTGCCCCACAGTGAGGTTTCTTCCTCTGTACCACTGTTTCCACACCTGGGAAGGGAGGATGGTGAGACCCTAATGTCTGTGCCTGGCACCTTGCACAGGACAGCCCCTTGGTCAATGGAATGAGGGTCCTTCTGGCTCAGTTAGGCCTCCCAGCATCCTGTACCCCAACCTGTCAAGGCAGCCCTGTTGCAGAGTAAGGGTCTTCTGTGAGACTGGCCCCAGTGCCAAGAAGGGACTTGGTGGCTTGGTCTAGCCATTGGCCCCCTTTGTTTTGATTCTAACAGGTGCCGGGGGAGATCAGTATGTCTTCTGTACTAGCAGTGAGTAGAGGATTGTGGGCGTGTAGGGAGGACAGCATCTGTCCTTTTCTTGTCCTTTTCTGTTCTCTGTTAAGTGCCCAGAATCTTCTTGGTCTTGATGTCTCTGTCGCCATCCCCCGTCAGACAGGTTTCTGTGTTCTCACTGTCTGTCTTCAAGGTGATCTAGATTGGCAGCATCTCAGCCATCGCATGGTCCCTCACTCTTCATTTTCCCGCTGGAAACTGAGCTGGAAAGAGTGGGTTCTGCTCAGGGGCCCAGAGGACAACAGTGTAGAAGCTGGGTTGTTGAGGTCCTGGGGGGTCTCAGTTGCCTGTGCTTCTGGATGCAAGTGTGCTGGCAGTAGGTTAGTGTGGGAGAAGGTATGGTCACACCTGGCCGAGAGTCTCCCTGGAGCCTCAGCTGGGCACCGCTGCAATGCCTGATAGACCATCCCCTTTCCTTTCTACCACAGCAGTTCCATGGGTAACCTCTCAGACCAGGGGAGCAGAGTCCAAGGGTCCATCTGCTAGAGCAGTTACTGAGTTAGAGCAGTTACTGGTGTTGGAGGACTTAAAATATGTTCTATCTCAGAGTGCCCATGCCTCTTCTTGTGAAGGTCTTCTTACCTATATGACAGGTTAGGGACTGAGGCTCAGGGACGTGGCTGGTCCAGGTCCAGGCATGGTGTTAGCGAGTGGCAGAGCTGGGCTCCGTATCCTGGTGGGAGGCTTCCATGGTGTCTGCCTGCCTGCTGAGGCAGTGGTGTTTTTAGCTGGTACTTTTGTTGCTGTCACAGGTTCGATTCCTGGGCAGGCATGGCGTTGGCCCGGGCCAGCCGCATTCAGGACAAGCTGAATTCCAATGAGCTGAAGAGTGATGGGCCCATCTGGAAGCATGCCACACCAGTCCTGAACTGCTTCCACCGGGCCCTGGAGATCGACAGCTCCAACCTGTCGCTGTGGATTGAGTATGGTACCATGTCTTACGCCTTGCACTCATTTGCCTCACGCCAGCTGAAGCAATGGAGAGCTGAGCTGCCTCCTGAGCTTGTGCAGCAGGTGAGGAAGGGTTCTGTCCTGTCCCACCAGAGTGCCCTCAGGCCCAAAGCCCTGTCCTCACATCTGTGCCGAGAGCTCACGGATGAATGTTCCATGAGGCTCAGGCATAATTGTGGTCAGTGATAGCTAGGTCCCTGCTCTTTGGACACCCAGTCCAAGTTCATGGGCAGGCCGTTGTGGCCTGACTGTTGAGCCATTAGTTACAGTGCGGTTGAGGGGTAGGAGAGGAGTGTTGGCCACCAGAAGTAGCCATCTCTTCCCTGTTCTCTCAGAGGAACTTGTTGGGTCCTTGTAAAATTCTGGACCTTGTTTTGAGATTTATGAAGTCTTCCAGGGTAGGGGGCTCCCCTAGTGTGGGGTGCTGGATCTGCACCAATGTCTCTGTTTAGCAGGGTTCTCTTGGCTTCATCAGAAGGAAGCAAAGGAGCCACACTATGAAATAGTCAGGCTGGCAAGACCCAGAAAGATCTCCCAGGAGAGCAGAGTGCTAAAAGGACCAGCTAGTTAGGCAGATAACACTGGGCCTTAAGTTTTGCAGCAATCATCTGTGATTAAAACCTGAAACAAGGGCTCAGCGCCTGTGGCTCAAGCGGCTAAGGCGCCAGCCACATACACCTAAGGTGGCGGGTTCGAATCCCC